GCGCCCGAAGGCAGGAATCAACACAAGCGCTCTGAGCAGATGGGTGGGGGGCGCAGGCCGTCGATGGCTGACGTTAGAAGAAGCCCTTCAAACGAAGGAAGCTCCGCAGTTTTACCGCAAAGACGGCCAAGATATGTGGCTCTTGGGGTGAAAAATGATATGCCTTTCTATATTTCTCGAAATTTGTCAAAATAACTACAAAAACAATTAATCCTACTTAATCTACTTACGAGCTACTTACGACCTACTTATAAAGCGTATAAACCGTAAGTAACATAAGTTCACCATATCTAACTTATAAGTAGCTAAGTCCCACCGCGCCTTCTAAGTACCAGGTCAACCTAGCAGGGATTAGGTCTGTGGGTTTTGATCCACAGCCATATCCAATAGTTAAAAGTCACTTGCGTTGATTGGTATAAGTTTACGCGCGCAAAAGTATGCGCGCAAACAGCAAAGCCCGTAAGTATTCATTGGCCCGAAGCCAAGCAGTATCCAGCACCACTATTGATTTTGTAGCACACTTGAAGCACCGATCTGTAGAACGCTAAGGCTGTATGATCTTGCGCGTATAAGTTTACGCGCGCAAAAGTATGCGCGCAAGCGGCAAAGCCCGTAGGCTTCACTCGCCCAAGGCGAAGCAGTATCCAGCACGACTATTGTGTGTGTGTAGCATGCTGAAACACGCTGAAACAATGGTTGGTTGAGAGCCCGATGTTGCGCATAGAACAATATACGTACAATAGTATGCCGCAAACAGTACAGCTGTCGGCCAAAACAGAACCTGAAGAGTGTAAAAACCCCACAGCGCTAATAGACAAAGACCGCTCAAGCGACAACACCGTCCGTATGATGTTGCGTGCGTAAGTTCATGCGGCCCATGACTGCAGGCGCCCAGCGCCGGCACCAGCACCGGCTCCCAGCACCGGCACCCTGCACCGGCGCCCGCCGCCGGCACCCTGTCTCCACCACGCGCACAGCCAGCGCCCAACACCAGCACCAGCGCCCTGTCTCCATCGCGTGCACAGCCAGCTCACAGCACCAGCACCAGCACCGGCAACCTGTCTCGAAAGCGCGCGCAGTCACCTCATTTGAAGTAAGAACCCCAAAGCTTCGCTATCTGGTGAACGCGGTTTCTATATGGTTGTCCGGCAAAGCATGACATGTCAGCCAGTGGCCAATGTCGGTCACGTCCACTTTCATCTCTGGCCGAAACGGGCAAGATTGGATTCAGGAGAAGCTGACGACTCCTCGACAGCGAAGGGACTGTCAGACCACCCCCGAAAAGCCCACCTGCCCCACACCGAAACCCTCGCCGTCATACTTCCGAGGGAGGCAACGAGAAGATCTACAGTGAGGGCTCAATATCAGCTTGGTGCCCAGCAAAGAAAGGGAACCAATTGAAGACCCACAGTCAATCCGAAAGATGACAAAGTTTCACCAGTGTAACCTACCATAATGAAATGACAAGTCTTAAACTTTAGATTCGGTTCCCTGCGAACAAATCATCCCTATCCCTAATATTACTATACCTCGAGTCCAGCGGTCAGTAGTCTAACACGATCGACCTTGAAAAGGTGCCACTGCTGCATTGCAGTGAGCTCCTCCAGCAGAACGCCGCCCGCACCTCAGACAAGTCTGGCCCAGCGAGGCCCGGAGTAGATGAAGAAATCAACCCCAAGCCCGTGACGTTGGATCCGTGTAGGGCAAACACCCTTGATGGAGATGGGCACACCTTGAACATGACCCAAACACGACGATGTTTGGGAGGCATGACAGCCCGGCTCGCCGTCAGTGGGGGGCTCAATGTAGCCAAATACGCTGGTCCCATGGAGCGCTTTCTCGGATATAGCTTCCGACTGCTTCCGTACGATGGCGCGGCGTCGACGAAGCATGCGCACACGCGCTATACTACATCATACAAAAAATCTACACATATCCCTTCTGGGGAAGGGATTCACCCCTAAGCAAAACCAGGCAATGTGGCTCATTCGTATTCTCCATGGCTCACAAAAACGGCTCAGAGAAAACCCTACAAACAGTTCTCCTTTCTCTCAAAGCGTCTGCCCCTCACCCTTAGGATCCTCGGGGCTCCGCTACCATGTGAAAACACGGAAGCGAGTGCGACCCCTTTTTGAATCCCGCTCTTGAGCCAAACGTTACAGTCGGTTTGACTGTATGTTCTGTTCATTCACTCTTCTCTGAAGAGTTTGGTTTGATTACGACAAGTCAAATCAAACCAACAACAACCCCCTCCTGTGGCCTTCTTGGGCGTCCCACCTTTGGCTGGCCGAGTCCGCCAAGGCGCTGCGTTGCTTGCTCTCCAGGAGCTTCGCCAGCTTCTCCAGATTCATCTTCACCTCAGTGTTCGCCTTGACCCAATACGGAACTGGATGTGAGCGCTTTCCATGGATCTGTCAATACGGAACCGCTCCTCATGTTGATGTTAAAGTAATATTTCCAAAACGTGATGGACCTGGGGATTCTGCCAGTGATGGACCTGGGATTGGTAAAGGATGTTAAAAGTTGCTTTTGGAGAGGCCCGGACGTCTTGGATTTGCTTAAGAAGGAAACGGGAAAACTTGAAACTATGAGAAAATTTGATGCATTAGGGGTATTCAGAATTCACCTATAGAACCAAGGTGCGTGGACAATGGCACAAAGAATCTTTGTCAACTCCAAGATCCAATGTTGCAAAATTTCAAGAACGTGTTGCAGCTACATCTGCGGGCGCCGCCTGTCTTGGATGCGACGTACTGTGAAAACGCAAACACGCGCACTGCAGAAGGCATCTTTGGGCGCACGAGAAGTGGCGTCTGTGAAGCTTGCTGGGATGTTTTGCGTAGGGATGATCTCGCAGCGGCTGCGCACTTGATTGCGACACCAGGAGGCTTGCGAATTCATTGGGGCCTGGATCCACACGCTGGCGCGCAGATTGCCGTTGCTACGACGATAGGTGTACTGCAGCCTCCGGTCGTTTGGGTTGCTGGCAGAGAACCACCCCCGCCGCCAGTTGTTCCACCTCATCCAGACCCTGCCGGACCGCTGGAGGTGCTGAGTGAACCGTTCTTGGTCTTGCCGAGCATCGGTCTGCGTGCGTCGCTGTGGGCCGCGCAGACAGTCCGGGAAATGTTCCTATGTCCGTCGTTGAGAACCGCATAAACAGCTGCTACCGCGCAGGACTCTTTGCACTGTGTGGAACAAAAGGATGCGGTGAGTCGGCGACGCATCGGCTGCACTCTTGGACTTCGGTGCGTTGCTGTGAACCACCGATGAAAAGCAAAAGAAGAAGCCACTGCGTGCACAGTGCCGCTGCACGCACAGTACCAGAGCAAGTACGCCGTTGCGGGCTGACGCCATCGTTGCGGGCCGGAACAAAAGGGGGTCCGCAGGTCATGCGCCAAGGGACACTCCTATAGGTCAAATAGTTCTTATAGGAAACTTCCGCCGCCGGCTTGCCCGGGAACTGCTTATATAATTAAGTACTCTAGCTACTAGGACGCTACTACATATGGACGCAGGACGCACTAATGATTTGGTTCCTAGTTTTTTAAGGAAACACTCTCTTTCTGCAGTCCTTTCTTGCAGCAAAAGCTGTCTGCCAACAGCACAACTCCAAGTCTGAGGCGAGGAGCTGTAGTGTGGGAAAGATCTTGTTGGAGCCATAGGCTGCAAATGAATCAGGCCAACCTGCGAGGACAGCCAACATTGTTTAACCTGACTCCAAACTCAAGCAAGCTTTCTTACGTACCGTACAGGATTGTATAGTTTAGCGCTTGAATGCGACCGAACCAAGCACGTGGGCTCTCAAATAAGAAAATTTTCAGGGCAGGCGAATCCAACCTTAGACATGTCAAGATCGGGAGGTGTATACAGCATTGGTCGTTCAAGTAGAACTCCAAGTGACAAGTTCCCAATTAAATATTGCAATGTACCCATTGTCCCGGCAAGAGACCCCAAATGGCGTGCGCGAAGTCTAGGTGTAGTAGCAGAAAGTCTAGAGATGTGAGAGGTGATGGCGGCGAGTGAAAGTGAGAGAGAAGTGAGATAAGTGAGATAAGTGAGAGAGGTGAGGTGAGGCGAGGCGAGGCGAGGTGAGATGAGGCGAGGCTGGGCGAGGTGAGTGAGTGTGAGTGCGTGTGAGTGAGGGTGAGCGAGTGTGAGTGAGGGTGGGCGAGTGAGCGTGAGCGAGTGAGCGTGAGCGTGAGCGTGAGAGCGAGAGCGAGAGCGAGAGCGAGAGCGAGAGCGAGTGCGTGAGCGAAGAGCGAGAGCGAGAACGAGAGCGAGTGCGTGAGCGAGAGAGAGTGAGAGAGAGAGAGAGAGTGAGTGAGTGAGTGAGGGAGTGACTGACTGACTGACTGACTGAGTGAGTGAGTCGAGAGTGAGAGTGGGTGAGAGCGTGCGTGAGGGTGAGAGAGCGCAAAAAGTGCTGCGCATGCCACGAAATCTGCACTTCGAGGTTCACAAAGTGGTGCACCTGCCAGGAATTCTGCACTTCGAGGTTCACAAAGTGCGAGGTTCACTGCGCTCTCGTTGTGGTGCGCGCGCATTTTCGGACATGGTGGTCACTTTTCGTGGCAGGCGCAAGGGAAACCTCGTGTTTTGGAAGTCCAAAGTCGACTTTTCGTGACAAGGCACAAGGGATCGGAGCGGTTTTACTTCGAAGTGCAGATTTCGTCTGATTTCGTGACAGGTGCAGTGAATCGTGACTTTTGGACATGTGGCTCGTTTGCCGATTTCGTGGCAGGCGCAGCACTTAGTGAACCTCGAAGTGCAGATTTCGTGGCATGCGCAGCACTTCGTGAACCTCGAAGTACAGATTTCGTCACTAGAAGCACCCGCCGCGCCCACGCAGACTCTACGAGCCTGCGCAGTCGAAACGCACATCCACGATTTCGAGAGACATGAATGGTGTAAACAGTAAACAGCAGCGAAGTAGCAGGACACGGCCGCGCGACACAGCGATCTAACACCGGTGCTTAACCCTTACCGTAAGAACCCCTAAGTGTCTCCACACTGTTTGGGGAAAAAAAACATGCTGAGCAAAATCATAGGATCAGGCTTTCGCAGGCTTTTGCCAATACAAAAGCACATGTGTCGCGCCAGCGAGTTGCAAATCAAGATGTCGCAGTCTGCAGCTACTCTCCTCAGCAACTTGTGCCCTCCGGTAATTGAGACAAACCAACGTGTCGTGGCTTGTCGGTAACAGCAACGACAACAACCATGACAACGACAACCACCAATCACCCGCCAAAAACTACAACAGCAACGGCTAAAACATGTTAAGCATGCTAAAACATCCAAAGCCATTGTTGGCATCTGTTGGCGGCGAGTTTTTCAAAAACGATAAACACGCGACAAACAAATGCTTGTTAGCGATTAGATGCTCAAAGCTTGGCATTGCTGCTTCCGGGGTCCCTATTTCATATGCCGACTCTGAGCTTCGACACATCCTCCATCAATGGCAAGACCAGTTGTGATACGACCTCCGCGACTACACCAACGAACCTCGCGTCAAAGCCAACAGTCGTCTTTGATCCAAAACATCCAAAAGCACTTGGAACAAAACCTAGTAGCGTCCTTGCTACTAGTAGTCAAGCCCTTGCTACTAGTAGTAATGCCCTTGTTACTAGTAGCGATGCCCCTGTTACTAGTAGCACTTGGAACAGCACAAAGAAATATATCATATACTCTTTCCATCTCTTTCCAAGAGATTCACTACACTACACGGATCCACAGGGAGAGATCCACAGGGCAGAATCAGTGGGATTGCGACTCCACTTACGTTGGGAAGCCTGCACAACCATACAAAAGCTTTTCCAAATTTTGTTGGGTCTACTAATAATGCCCTTTGTTCCTAGTAGCGATGCCTTTTGTTACTAGTAGCTTCTTGTTACTGGTAGTAAGGCCAGGAGCCCCTAGTAGCGTCTTTGCTCCTATGATCCTGCGACTTCAAAAGTCCAAAATTCTGGCACGCGAAAATCCCATGTGTGCCACTAAGCATTCGCAAGCAATCCAAAGCTTCTGAAACCAAGCAACTTCACTCGTGGATTTTCGTGGTCCTGGCCATATCGAGGATTGCCAGCATATCTGTAGAAATCAGAAGTGCTGAATGGCAAGGGGTGTAGCGTCACTTGCCTCAGCAGCAGACAAGACTTCAGGTGTTCGTCTTCACTCTTGGAATCTTGGAAACAAATGTATAATGCTTGGAAAAACTAAAACTGCATGGCCAATCTTTGGACACTTCAGCCAAATACTGATGTGCCGGAAGGAGGCCTACTCAACTCTCGAGCAGCACCAAGCGGCCAAGTTGTAATGCTGGTTCGGACTGAGATTAATTCGACTTCTGAACCAACCCAAATCCAAACAGCAAAGCCACTTTTTCGCTGGGAAGGAATGCTCGGGCTGAAGGAAGAACTCCACCTGGTGGCCTCCCTCCGCAAGGGTATCTGCCAGAGCCTGACTAGAAGCATCTGCATGGCAACACCGGCTTTTGCTTAGCGGTTGCAGTATCTTGGATTGGCTCAAATCCAAACAGCATCCACTACTCGCATAGTCAGTCTGTGTTTACTGTATACCTTGCCCGTGTTATTTCGACATATTTCAACTACAGTATGTGTAAGTCCACCCCACATGAACGATGAAACCACCTGGCTGGAAGGATGTAGCTGTGAGACCCTGAATATGAGGTGAGGTTTGAAGAGTGAAGTTCCGCAACAACTCCCACAGCTTCGGAAAGTTGCGAGTTTGGCACATATGAAACACCTTGAAACGCCCTGAGTCGAATGGAGCAAGCCATGACATCACCCTGTTCGACTTCAGGCACCTGATATGGTTCGGCATCGCCCCGACTGCCGACGGTGATGAGAAGCAGCCGCATGCACTCGATGTTGGGGTCTGGTCCAACACTCTCGACTGCAGATTCCCTTACCCCTTCTGCTGGAGGTTGGGAGTCCAGAGAGCAATCCAATAAGAATAAGCAACTGCACAACTAGCAGGAATATCCGAATATCATCTACAGTAATAAGCCCACATAAGCCCACATCCACATGTCTTGCTTCCTTTTTCACAGTTTTTGCATCTGCACTTGGTGTGAAAGGGCCTATATAAATATGCTCAAAATCCAACACTCTAACACTCTGGCCCAAGGATGTGCTTCCAACTGTCTTTGAGGCATCAGGCCAGTTGGCTGAAAATCGCAGGCAGCGGCGAAATACAAATGGAATTGGAGGTAACTGTGGAATATCCGCCGAGACAGGGGAGTCTGTGGGAACTTTACAGGAGCTAGGCCAACAGAACACTATATCCGCCGACCCCGGCTGAAGGAGGGGGAGCGCGCGAGGGATTACAGGTGCGGGAGCCTTGCGCTTCTTCGTCTCAGCACGAACCTGCAGGCAACAGACGCTTCCACTGCTCGATGCTGCTCGAACACATGCATCACTGGAGCCGCAACCT